CCCCCCCCCCCCCCCTTCCTCCGTTACGTCACTGGCTACAGAGGCCAGTTTTCAAGCTCTAACCGCAAGTTCATGTATATACACCAAGGTGATACCAATGTACTGTAAGTAATACATACCAAGTTTGTGGTCAGGTGCTGGTGAATGTTGTGGTTCATTGGTTGATGATGGGTGCATGTGAAGCTGTGGTAGATGATGGTTCTGTTGTTCACTACGACTGCCGTATTTCTAGATGAAAAAAATTAATACGGTTCAAAACTGAACTTCAAACGTGGTTCCACGCTAATTTACAGTGGGCCTTGTTCATGGGATGACAGTATCAACCCAATATCTTTATAAAGCCTGGTTTACACCAGTTTCTGTGATCACAGTAGGAATTTTGCATGGGTAAGTTTTGAAGGATTTGTAAGAAATGTTTGAGGAAACTGACTCATTGTTTAACACTGATCCCATCAAGCGTTTCAGTTAGATTGGAATCGCAATTGGAACACGTTCAGAACGCAATTGGAACACGTTTAGAACGCATTTGGAACACGTTTAGAACGCAATTGGAACACGTTTAGAACGCATTTGGAACACGTTTAGAACACAATTGGAACACGTTTAGAACGCAATTGGAACACGTTTAGAACGCATTTGGAACACGTTTAGAACGCAATTGGAACACGTTTAGAACGCAATTGGAACACGTTTAGAACGCATTTGGAACACGTTTAGAACGCAATTGGAACACGTTTAGAACGCAATTGGAACACGTTTAGAACGCATTTGGCACACGTTTAGAACGCATTTGGAACACGTTTAGAACGCAATTGGAACACGTTTAGAACGCAATTGGAACACGTTTAGAACGCATTTGGAACACGTTTAGAACGCATTTGGAACACGTTTAGAACGCAATTGGAACACGTTTAGAACGCAATTGGAACACGTTTAGAACGCATTTGGAACACGTTTAGAACGCAATTGGAACACGTTTAGAACGCAATTGGAACACGTTTAGAACGCATTTGGAACACGTTTAGAACGCAATTGGAACACGTTTAGAACGCAATTGGAACACGTTTAGAACGCAATTGGAACACGTTTAGAACGCAATTGGAACACGTTTAGAACGCAATTGGAACATGTTTAGAACGCATTTGGAACACGTTTAGAACGCAATTGGAACACGTTTAGAACGCATTTGGAACACGTTTAGAACGCAATTGGAACACGTTTAGAACGCATTTGGAACACAATTACACACGTGGACGCGGTTGTTGTCATATTTCTGTCGGAGCAGCACTGTAGACGACTGACCTACCTTTTGTTTCTTAGATTTCGTCTGATGTTGATCTTGATTCTTGGACATGAGAGCTTGAAGTTCTGGCTCGAATCTTTCTCGGAAACCATCGAAATATTTGTGTTCCAACAGTTCTGCGCATGTCAGCCTGCTGTCTGGTTCCATGACTAGACAACCCTGAAAAAATAAGCGTCTTCTATGGAGAAAATACAGACAATCCTTCGGACATTCCCTAGGGAAACACACAGCCCTCAAAAAATAAATTATCTGCTTGTTTCCAGTCAGCTAGTTCTAGCAGATGGCATGCATGTGTTTTTTATACTGGCATGTGTACTCCCAAGGATGCTATAGCAGGATTGTCCAAATTTGTCGTAAAATGTCTATGTACAGTATTCTGTGTGCATGTAATGTCTATGTGTTCTGTGTTAAAAAAATTATATGTATTGAAAACATTATTTGTGATCGTCCCAGCATGTAAACGTGATAGGACATAAAATTGCATGGTAATGGGAACACCTAATCCCACATAAGAACGTCAGACATAACTTGGGATGATGTGGTTGATTATGATTAAATTACGGACAACAAAATAGGAACAAAATATAAGTAAACGTGTTCCATTTACGCAATGGAAATTTGTTGTAGAGAAAATATGTATTCCTGTTCTGTTAGCATAAATATAAGCAAAAAGCTCTGAAAATAGTCAGTAAACTGGCCTATTTTACCTTCAAAAAGCTCAATGCTGGCTGTGGGATGAATGGAAATTTATCTTCTAAGACTTCCTAAACAAAGATAGTACGCATGTGAGTGAGCATTCAGTTTTGGCAAGATTTGCAATGGCCTCAACTTACCCTCTTGCTGGGCTCTGGTATCTTTAGTCCTCGGAAGAATTGATTATTGCTAAATATCTGAATATGACGAGGTATAAGGTCACCTAAACACATAAAACAGGAATTAATTATTCACCCAGTTTATGCCAGAAATATTAAGTGGAACAATCCATGTTTAACCCTTTAAGGGACAGTGCTCTCCCCTTGAGAAGCAAAATCTGGCATCAGACAGAGTAAAATAATAAAGTAGAGTTCATCAGAGCACATTGCCAGTTAAAATGTTAACAGGATGCATTGGCAGATACTGATTAACCCATTACGTGGCAGCACTCTCCCTCGACGAGTAAAATCTTCTGGAGTTAGACAGAGTAAAATAATAAAGTATGGTGCATCAGAGCTAGTGCATTGCCACTTAATGGGTTAATTTCTTGCAATACACATACCTAGAGTTTTCTTAATAAGATACAGTTGATCAACGTCTGATCGACCAGGCCACAGAGGCTGTCCACATAGTAACTCGGCAAACACACAGCCAATAGCCCAGACATCCACAGGGGGCCCGTATTGAGTATCTCCGACCAACAATTCTGGTGCTCTATACCACCTTGTTGCTACATAATCTGTGTACTCATCTCCTGGAGCTAAGAAATAAAACTCAACTTAAGGTGGCTCCCTACAGTTTTCTAAAATTTTAAGTATTTTAGGTAGCCTTCGTTTTGAACCAAATTGATATTGAAAGCACTTAAGACAGGGCAATATAATCATTTCCAGGAAAGTTCAGAAGTCTTCTGCTGTCGATATATGAACAAATAGGAACAGTGTTAGTGTTGCCATGGCAACCATGACGTTTCATCTTTTGCACTTTTATTGTCTAATTTTACAATCAAACGGCAATATCTTTTTTTTCCTTCGGTCAATGTTTCTGAATTTTTTTTTTAAGATTTATGGTTGAAATGGGAATGACATATTAAAATTTGAAGGGATGTTTATAAGGCCGGTTTTGAGATATTCATGAATAACGACTACAAAAAATCTGTCTTATAGAATTTCTTGAAATTTTGATATGTTTGGCGAATCGTCATGCTTAGCAAACGTGCAAAGTTTAAAAAACTTTCACCGAAGGAAACGCGAGAAAAATAGTCCTAAATCCAGTTGAAGCTGTTGACGTGACAAAATATCGATTCGACATGATCACTATTTGCGTGGGGAACACGAAACGCGTACGGTTTATAGTTGGCTTTTTTAGCAATTTTCTCTTTGAGTTTTCGGCTTATATGTATCACACAGATATTTTTTACTTATTTGAAATGAAAATAAAAGATATATGTATTCAAAATACGAAACATTGAGAACACAATAACGCACTGACTTAATCCAACGTTTCTTAAATTTAGTTTTGTTATGAAAATCGGTGTGAAAACTTTGCAAAACATTCAAGTAGAGTTTGACTTTTCGTATAAAACAACTCGTAACTGTCTGCATTATAATTTTATTGGATTCAGCAGATAAAAAACTACATGTGAACTGAGTTGAATGACAGGGTTTACGTAAGTTTCAGTGACAATTCAGGAGTGTCTTCAAGACA